CATACTGCCTGCAAACACATTTTTAACAAAGCACAACCTGCACAGCCCTACATCCATTAAACCTTCAGTCAACACAGTACCTTTCTGTGAGCACAGGGTTGGGGCTAGGTTTACAGATTAACAGCATCTCAAGGCAGAAGAATTTTTCTTAGTACAGAACAAAATGGAGTCTCTTATGTCTACTTCTTTCTACATAGACACAGTAACAGTCTGATCTTTCTTTTCCCCACAAGTGAGGATCCCATCATGGGCTGATCACAGTCCTGTGGACCAGGTGCTAAACTTACCTACCAGAGATTAACATTCCAGATGAACGGGACTGAAATTTAATCCTGGATGGAATATGTTATAACACTCAAGAAATTATACGAACATGCAATGCTTATTCTCTAGTGTGGGGGAAAGAGAGATCAGACTGTTACTGTGTCTATGTAGAAAGAGGAAGACATAAGAAATTCCATTTTGATTTGTATTAAGAAAAATTCTTCTGCCTTGAAATGCTGTTAATCTGTAACCCTAGCCCCAACTCTGTGCTCGCAGAAAGGTGCTGTGTTGACTCAAGGTTTAATGGATTTAGGGCTGTACAGGATGTGCTTTGTTAAAAATGTGTTTGCAGGCAGTATGCTTGTAAAAGTCATTGCCATTCTCTAATCTCGAGTACCCAGGGACACAGTGCACAGCGGAAGGCTGCAGGGACCTCTGCCTAGGAAAGCCAGGTATTGTCCAAGGTTACTCCCCATGTGATAGCCTGAGATATGGCCTCGTGGGAAGGGAAAGACCTGACCATCCCCCATCCCGACACCCATAAAGGGTCTGTGCTGAGGAGGATGAGTGAAAGAGGAAGGCCTCTTTGCAGTTGAAATCAGAGGAAGGCATCTGTTTCCTGCTCGTCCCTGGGAATGGAATGTCTCGGTGTAAAGCCTGATCGTATGTTCTACTTACTGAGATAGGAGAAAACCGCCTTATGACTGGAGGTGAGACATGCTGGCGGCAATACTGCTCTTTACTGCGCTGAGATGTTTGTGTAAAGTCAAACATAAATCTGGCCTAGGTGCACATCAAGGCATAGCACCTTTCCTTAAACTTATTTATGACACAGAGTCCTTTGTTCACGTTTTCCTGCTGACCCTCTCCCCACCATTACCCTGTTGTCCTGCCACATCCCCCTTTCTGAGATGATAGATAGTGATCAATAAATACTGAGGGAACTCAGAGACCAGTGCCGACGTGGGTCCTCTGTATGCTGAGCACCGGTCCCCTGGGCCCGCTTTTCTTTCTCTATACTTTGTCTCTGTGTCTTATTTTTCTCAGTCTCTCATCCCACCTGACGAGAAACACCCACAGGTTGTGGAGGGGCTGGCCACCCCTTCACTCACTGATCATTTCCAGGAGTGGGCTGATACGACTTTGCTGTGGCAGGTTGTGCTGACTCACGGGACAAGGAAGGTGATTCAAGGGCCTGGTTGGTGGAGCACTTTTGCCTGACTCATTGCTGTAGACAATCTGCCCTGAATCCATCCTGTTATACAGTGTGGGAGTGGTGATGGGAGCACGAATCCACAATTTAGGGCAGAGATGTTCAAATTTAAGAAGGCTCTTTTTATAAATGTAGAGTCTGAACCCCATCCCCAGAAATTCTAGCTTGGAAAGCCGGGGAGTGACTCAAGAATTTGCCTTCTTTTACAAGCTTCTCAGAGAATGCCGAGGCAGGCACCCCAAAGAAAACACTTAGAAAATTCTATAGTGTTATGGACTTACAAATATGATGGCTGTCTCCCCACAGTACACTTAGGCTTTGGTTCAAATTACATCTGCACAGAAAAGCCTTCCCTGAAAACTCTTACTAAAATAACTCTTATTACAATCTATGAACTTGCTAGGCTTTATATTTCTTCCTAGCACTTATCTGAATTTGGTTTTGTATTTATCTTACTCAGTCTCCTTCACCAGACTGTATGTCATATCAAAGCCAGCACTTTGCCTGTTTTGTTCACTGATGTGTCTCCATTGTCTAAAACATGCCTGCCATGGTGTAGAAGCTCAAAAAATATTTTCAAAGGAGTGAATTACTCAATATAGAGTCAGGGATTAAATTCTGCCACAATACTATGTGGCAAATATCTATTACTTTTATAAAGAGAACTCACCATTTATAAACTGGATTAAATCTCATTAGATCAAGGGAAGTAACTCTGGATAGAGAAAACAGGAACCGTTTCTAGGAAAAACTAATAATTTTTTGCCACCAGGCCTGCTCGAAATGATTAAGGAAGTTTGCATAAAAAGGAAATAACTAAAGGAAACATAACATCAGGAATGCAGAAAAAACAACAGAAAGGGTAAATATGTTATAAAATGTAATATTCTTTTAAGTTTAAAAATTGTGTTTGCTGGTTGGAAGCAAAAGTTACAATTTTACTTGATATGGTTCTCGGTGGATGTAGAGATGCTGAACGTCATTTTCTGTTAGGGATGTGTAAGTTGAGCCCATGATCATATACCACCACATACCTAATAGGAAAGCTAAAGCACACTGGCAATGCCAAGAGCTAGAAAGAGCATGGAACAAACGGAATGCTCACACATTGGTGGTGGGATGTAAATTAGTACAGCCACTCTGGGAAAGAGTTTGGCCATTTCTCATAAAGTTAAACACAAACTTACCATATTCACCAGCAGTCATGCCCCCAGTGTCTATCCCAAATATATAAAAACTTATGCTCATACAATATCGGGTACACAGATAGTCACAGCGTCTTTACTTATAACAGCAAAACGCTGGAAACAACCCAAATGTCCATCAACAGTTAATGGATACACAAACCCTGGTGCATCCGTCTAAAAGAATACTAACTCAGTAACAAAAATTAAAACTATTTAGACACCCAACAATTTGGATAGATCTTAAGGGTAATCTGCTGAGTGAACGAAGCCCTATCTCAAAGGTTGCATACCTTACAATTCCATTTTAATAGCATTCTTGAAATGACAAAATTAGAGTGATGGGATCAGTGGTTACTATGGGTCATATTGGGAGGACAGTGTGAGTATAAAGAGGTAGCAAGAGGAGGCCGTGAGCAGTGGCTCATGCCTGTAATCCCAGCACTTTGGGAGGCTGAGGCAGATGGATCACCTGGGGTCAAGAGTTCAAGACCAGCCTGGCCAAAATAGTGAAACCCCGTCTCTACTAAAAATACAAAAATTAGTCGGGTGTGGTGGTGAGCGCCTGTAATCCCAGCTACTCGGGAGGCTGAGGCAGGAGAATCGCTTGAACCTGGGATGCAGAGGTTGCAGCAAGCCATGATCATGCTATTGCACTCCAGCCTGGGCAACAAGAGCAGAACTCTGTCTCAAAAAAGAAAAAAAAAAAGAGGTAGCAAGAGGGTGTTTCTTTCTGTTGGCACAACAGTTCCACATCCTGATTGTGGTGGGATTTACATAAATCTATACATCTTACAGAATTTCTTAGAACTGTACATAAAAATAAATAAAACAGCAATTACTGCACGCACAAAGTAATGAAGTCCAAATAAAGGCTGTAGTTTAACAGCATTGCACTAGTGTCATTTTATTGGTTTTGATTATTATGGTTATATAATATTGATGATGCTAAGCAAAGGATACTCAGGAAACACGTATATTTTGTAATCTCTTGTGAATCTAAAATTATTTCAAAACAAATTTTAGAAAAATAATATTTAAGGCATTTTTGTAAACTACATAATGGTACCTACTAACTTGGATAAACACATCCAAATATACTGAATTACATTTATCAATAAATTGAAAAAATAAATTTGGGGGCTATATGTAAGATCTAATAAATAATTACATCAGGTTGGCACAGAAAGCACCTGTTATATATGGCATTAAAATTTAATCAATGATAAGAACAGCCCACTTTACAATTATGGAATCATTGATAATATGCAAGGTATGCTGTCCCAGAATAGACATCAAGTGTATCATGAGTTTAGATTTGTGAAAGTCCTCAAATATGTATCATTTTCATGAGACTTTTTTACTTCATGAATTTCCTGATCCTTTTTAAAGTTACTCTTCATTTCAGTTTTATTTCTGTATGAAGTAATGATGATGAGGCAGAATTTATCACTGAAATCCTACTGTATTCACTGCCATTTGAAACTTTTTCTCCAGTGTGAAATATATCTGCCAACTGTTAAGGTTTTATTTCTGGGCAAAGGCTTTCCCCATGATAATGCTGCTAGTATGTGTAAGTTCACTGATGATCTGTTATGATCACTGATGAGACAGGGTCTTTCTTCCCATAGAAGGCTTTCCTAGCCTCCCCCTTTATAAGATTTATCTCAGTAAATACTTTTCAAAACATAGTTACTTAGAAAATTTTCAAGACTTTTCTGCATTGGATGTATCAAGTTTATTTCCTACATGTTTATTGTGACATACAATATGAGATAATTAATCACTGAAGGCACTAGTGCATTCTCTGCATTCGTTAAAATTCACTCCTGCAAACTGCATAATCTTCCAAGTGTGAAAATCTAGCAACAGGCTGCTCTACACTGCCTATATGCATGTATGCTAGGAGCACCCTGCTGTTTAATCAGTTCACATTACTTTTTTTATTTCTTTTTTTTTTTTTTGAGATGGAGTCTCGCTCTGTCGCCCAGGCTGGAGTGCACAATCTCCGCTCACTGCAAGCTCCGCCCCCTGGGTTCATGCCATTCTCCTGCCTCAGCCTCCCGAATAGCAGGGACTACAGGCACCCACCACTGCGCCCAGCTAATTTTTTTGTATTTTTAGTAGAGACAGAGTTTCACCGTGTTCAACAGGATAGTCTTGATCTCCTGACCTCATGATCCACCCGCCTTGGCCTCCCAAAGTGCTGGGATTACATGCATGAGCCACCACGCCCGGCTCAGTTCACATTACTAACATGGTTTTCTCTCTGCATGAGTTTGTTTGTATGTAATCAGTTCAAATTCTCTGCAAAAGGACTATGTACCTTACACATTTCACATATGGATGTTGTCATAGTTTTAATGAAGGTTGACAAATGAAAGGTTACCCCCAATCCACAGAATCTCTCTCAGATGAGTTATTTTCTATACATTGGTACATCAAAGATTTCAGAGCCTGAATTCATGTTGAAGCCTTTCTGACATTGATAGCATTTATCCTAGTGGATAACACTGGATTTTGAAATACGATTTTTCATACTCAATACACATAAAAACTATACTGTGAAATCAATGATGGTGTACAAGACATATTTTATTCCCAAAGGCATGACCACGTCCATTGCATTGTTAGGGTTTATTTCCATTATGAGTTCGCTGATGTACAATGAGATTTCTCTTTGAGGAGAAGGCTTTTCTACATTCACTGCATACAAAGGGTTTCTCTCCTGTGTGAGTTCGTTGATGAACAATTAGACGGCTCTTCACAGTGAAGCCTTTACCACATTCATTGCATCCATAAGGTTTTTCTCCAGTATGAACTTGCTTATGTAAAGCAAGCTCAGTTTCCATGGCAAAGCCTCTTCCACATTCACTACATATACAAGATTTCTCTTCTGTATGAATTTGCTGATGTACAATAAGATAGCGTTTCATGGTAAAGCCTTTTCCACATTCACTGCACATAAAGGGTTTCTCTCCAGTATGAGTTCGCTGGTGTACAACAAGATTGCTCTTAAAGGCAAAACCTTTTCCACATTCATTGCATATGTATGGTTTCTCTCCAGTATGAGTTCGCTGATGTAACATCAGTCCACTATTCACAATGAAACCTTTCCCACATTCACTGCACCTGTAAGGTTTCTCTCCAGTATGAGTTCGCTGATGTACAATCAGCCGACTCTTCAAGGGGAAGCCTTTCCCACATTCATTGCATATGTAGGGCTTCTCTCCAGTATGAGTTCGCTGATGTATGATGAGCATGCTTTTCACAGTAAAACCTTTTCCACATTCACTACATAGATATGACTTCTCTACTGTATGATTTCTCTGATGTACGATGAGATTACTCTTCCTGGGAAAGCCTTTTCCACATTCATTGCATACATAGGGTTTCTCTCCTGTATGAGTTCGTTGATGTTCGATCATACGGCTCTTCATGGTGAAGCCTTTCCCACATTCATTGCATATATATGGTTTCTCTCCTGTATGATTTCGTTGATGTATGATGACATAGTGCTTTGTGGTGAAGCCTTTCCCACATTCACTACAGATGTAGGGCTTCTCTCCTGTATGAGTTCGCTGATGTATGATAAGCATGCTCTTCCCAGTGAAGCCTTTTCCACATTCACTACATACATAGGATTTCTCTCCAGTATGATTTCGCTGATGTACAATGAGATTACGCTTGCCTGGGAAGCCTTTTCCACATTCATTGCATATGTAGGGTTTCTCTCCAGTATGAGTTCGCTGATGTTCAATCAGACGGCTCTTCATGGTGAAGACTTTTCCACATTCACTGCATATAAAAGATTTCTCTCTTTTATGAATTCTTTGATGTTCATTTAGCCTGGACTTTCTGGAGAACACTTTTGCACAAAAAGTACATCCATAAGGTTTTTCTCCTGTATGAACTCTCTCATGATCAGTGAGCTGTGACTTCTTGACAAATGCTTTCCCACATTCACTGCATATGTGGGTTTTTTCTATTTCATGAGTTCTCTGATGCTTACTGACTTGGGATTTAGTGCTACTGGATTTTGTGCTTACAGAGAATTTAGCTGCAGAATAAAGTTCTTCATACTTACCATGAAGAAATGATTTTCCATCTCCATTAAATTTAGTAGAGTTCTTAATTTCACAGCTTTTGCTCTGGTTGACTAAACTTAAATTTGATTTCAAAGCTTTTATATATAACTCAAATGTATCATGATTTTCCCTGAAAAGACAATGGCTTTTGGTTTGAGAGGCAGTATTTCCAAATGCATTACGTTCATGGTATTGTTCCACACTCTTCAGCATCCTTTGATTTTCCAAGTGATCCTGCAGATGATCATCAACTTTGTTGTTTTCTAGGAAAGAAGAGAACAATGAATCCTTTCATAACCTTGTTGGGGATAAAACTGTTTTCTTAAAAAAAAAAATCCTTGTTTATTATTATTATTATTTGAGACAGAGTCTCACTCTGTTACCCAGGCTGGAGTGCAGTGGTGTGATCTCAGCTCACTGCAACCTCTGCCTCCTGGGTTCAAGCAATTCTCCTGACTCAACCTCCGAAGCAGCTGGGTTTACAGGCATGTGCCATCACGCCCAGCTAATTTTTGTATTTTTAGTAGAGACAGGGTTTCAATATGTTGGCCAGGCTGGTCTTGAACTCCTGACCTCAGGTGATCCCCCTACCTCGGCCTCTCAAAGTGCTGGGATTATAGATGTGAGCCACCACACCCAGCCAGGTGTTTTTAAATATGGCTATTTAATGACAATACGATGATAATAGTATAAAAGCAACTTCATGTATACACTTTGGTAAAAACATAATAATATAAACAAACCAAAAAGTAAAAGCAGTCTGTGTGCAAATAAGGTGAGGCAGTCGACAATCTGTATAGATTTGACTGCTTTCTAAACAGGACCTTGCAAAACATGTGGACACAGTAAAATACAAGCAAGTCATTATTACAAGCAAACAACAGGGCCTGGAGGAACACCATTCCACAAAATTTTGGGAGACACCAGACCACAAAGGTGGAAAAGGCAACTGATCCAAAATTCTGAGGGTTGTATTTATTCACTCCACTAGTATTTGTTGAATGACTCCTATGGATAAGGCACTCTGCTGGCATTTGGGATATACAAAATATGCCTTCTTTTCACTGATGCTGAATTCTAGTTAGGAAAAACAGAGGGAACAAAAAAAGAAGGGAGTTGGAGATGTTAAGTGTGGTTTGGTGGAGCAGTGTAGATGATGAGAGTTGGGGGAAGCAGGATATATTTGTACAAAGAAAATACAAGGTTAAATGATGAATTCAATGGGGAGAGTGAGGAAAGTGAGGACTCAAAGATTACTAAATATATGGCTTGAGACACTGGGTAGATGAAAGCATCTCATGAGATGGCAAATATTACTGCAGTCCAGAACATGTAAAGTATACACTGTGAAACATACACTTTGAAATGGTTATCAAATACATAACACAGACATCAAGAATCTGGTTGGAGGTATAAATGGAGAAGGCAGCATGGAAATAATCAGCACATACATATTATTTAAGAACAAAGGACTGAATGACTTTTTTTTCTTTTTTTTTTCTTTTGAGACAGGGTCTCACTGTTACCCAGGCTGGCGTGCAGTGGCACAATCTTGCATCACTGCAACCTCCACCTTCCAGGCTCAAGCAATTCTCCCACCTCAGTCTCCTGAGTAGCTGGGGCTATAGGCACATGCCACCACGCCTGAGTGATTTTTGTATTGTTTGTAGAGACGGGGTCTTGCCATGTTGCCCAAGCTGGTCTTGAACTCTTGGGCTCAAGTGATCTGCCTGCCTCTGCTTCCCAAAGTGCTGGGACTATAGGTGTGAGCCAAAGCACTGGGCCAGGATACCATGTTGAGAAGACATGTAGAATGAAAGAGGAAGGTACAGAGCCAAGGTTTTAGACATTCCCACATTTGGTTTTGGGATTATTTAAGCCCTCTTAGAGGAACCAAATGGTGAGTACAAAGATCAGGGAAATATGCTTACTGAGATATATAGAATAAATATATCCACATACTTGTTGCCTGGCAAGGATAAGAATTAGAAATCTCCATCTGTTGAAATTCAGTGAACTGAGATAAGACTCTTGTGTGGTAACTGTTATTAAATTTGCCCCTCTTCAATCTGTAGACTACCATCTAACTTTCCAAAAACATTCATCACATTTAATGAACAACTCCTATAGTCAACATTCCACCCTCTGGTTTAGCTGTGTTGTGTTATCATATGTTCCATTAATTATGAAACAGGAAAACAATGATAGGGAATTTTGCAACTGGCCAGTGTACCATGTAGTTGCCTTCAGAAGAAAATGTGCTGCTGCGTGGGATATGAAAACTGTCACTTTCTTCTATCACATTTTGTATGCAGTAGAAAAGTCATATCAAGGCCAGGTACGGTGGCTCACGCCTGTAATCCCAGCACTTTTAGGAGGTCAAGGTGGGCAGATCACTTTAGCTCTGGAGTTCCAGACCAGCCTGGGCAACATGGTGAAATATCATCTTTACAAAAAATACAAAGATTAGCCAGACATGGTGACATGTGCCTGTAGTTCCAGCGACTTGGGATGTTGAGGCAGGAGGATCGCTTGAGGCCAGAGGTCGAGGCTGCAGTGAGCTGAAATCGTGCCACTGCACTCCAGCCTGAGCAACAAAGTGAGACCCTGCCTCAAAAAAAAAAAGTCGTATCAAATTTTTCCCATTTCAATGTCCCTGATACACTGTTTCTTCATCTGCTACCAATAGCATCTACTTCAGTAATGCTACATTTATGTCTCAGCATTAGTTAAGTTGTACTAAAGGATAAACTTCCTCCTTCTAGACAAAGGTTGTGCCAGCTTCACCTTCAGTTTTTCTTAAGATATTTAGCTGTTTCTTATTATTGCTACGCTGCTGACATCCAGGTGAAAGGTCAGACTAGCAAGATATTTTGTGAAAAGACAAAAATATAAAAGTAACCAATCCTCAACCATGCTACCTCAATTACTCATATATAAAATCAAAAGTCATCTTGATAAATAAAGCTTACATTACCATGAATATTACCATGTTTCTGCTCCACGATTTTGCCAACAAGCAGCTTCTATCACTGACCTGTATTTGGCCAACTTGAGGCCAATCTTTTGATAGTCAAGCCCATGGCCTTGCACAATTGCTATTTCATGCCTTCATTCTTTTTTTTTTTGAGACAGAGTTGCGCTCTTGTTGCCCAGGCTGGAGTGCAATGGCGCAATCTCTGCGCCCCGCAACCTCCGCTTCCCGGGTTCAAGCAGTTCTCCTGCCTCAGCCTTCCTGAGTAGCTTACAGGCATGTGCCATCATGCCCGGCTAATTCTGTATCTTTAGTAGCAATGGGGTTTCTCCATATTGGTGAGGCTGGTCTTGAACTCCTGACCTCAGGTGATCCGCTCACCTCGGCCTCCCAAAGTGCTGGGATTACAGGCATGAGCCACTGCACCTGGCCCATGCCTTCATTCTTAATTCATGTCACCATCTTCCTAATTCAAAATCTAGATATGCTTTGTGCACATCATACTCTTGCTGCAATTCTGACTATCCTGCCATATGCTCTATTTCCTCTGTATTCCTAAATTAACCCCTGTATCATTAATTTTTATGGTAATCTTCTGTGTAGTGAGGATCTAGATCTAACCTCATCCAAAGAGAGATCTAACATTTGTTCTAAGCTATTAGGAAATGAGCTCTAGGCCCCTGGAATGTCCTGGCCTATAGGAGTGTCTTTGTTTGCCCACTGGCTTTAGCTGCTGGACAGTTTAACAATATGATTTATGATAGGGGCTTTGGCCCATGCCATATCAGTTCCACACTTTGGAAAAACTAGATACTCTAGGTATTAGCCCGACTTCTGGGAGAGGCAAAAGACTAAAAGTCAGCCATGTGGGCTGTATGTGACTGGAACCTAATCAAAACTCTGGCCACCAAAGGCTCAAGTGAACTTCCCCAGTTGTCAATACTCTGTATTGTCACACACTGTGGCTGGGAAGAGACGTAATGTCCACAGTGAAAGGAGGACCAGAAGTACTGCACTTGGACCCCCTCCTGGACTACAAATGACCTGGGAATTCTACTCCTAGGTGAAGGCTCAAGAGAAATGAAAACACGTTCCTGAAAAAGTTGTACACGAACTTTCATAGCAGCATGATTCATAAATGCCAACAAGTAGAAACAACCCAAATGTTAATTCAATAGATGAATGGGTAAATAAAATGTGGTACAATGGAATATTATTCAACAATAAAAAGAAATGAAGTACTGATACATGCTAAAGAATGGAAGAATTTCAAAAACACTATGCTAAATAAAAGAAGCGAGACACAAAAGACCATATATTTTATGATTCTATTTATATAAAATGTCCAGAACAGGCAAATCTATAGAGATAAAAAGTAGAGGCCGAGCGTGGTGGCTCACACCTGTAATCCCAGCACTTTGGGAGGCTGAGGCGAGTGGGTCATGAGGTCAGGAGTATGAGACCAAACTGGCCAACATGGTGAAACCCCGTCTCTACAAAAACACAAAAATTAGCTGGGCATGATGGTGCACGCCTGTAATCCCAGCTACTCAGGAGGCTGAGGCAGGAGAATCGCTTGAACCCAGGAGGTAGAGGTTGCAGTGAGCCAAGATCATACCATTGCACTCCACCCTGGGTGACAAAGCAAGACTCTATCTCAAAAAACAAAAAAAAAGAAAGAAAAAAAAAATTGACTATGGTGATGGTTACATAACTGTTCATATACCATGAAGCACTGAAAAATAAACTTTAAATTGGAAAATTGTATGGTATGTAAATTAAGCTGTTAAAAAACAAATCTATAATGGGAAAAACACATTAGGGAAATGAATACAATGCTACTGTCTAAGATGAACTAAGGGAAAAGCAGAAATCAAATGTACAAAGGAAGTACTCTGAGATAGACATAAGTTATGACCTGGTTTGGACTACAACTGATGTAGGATGTAAAACTCCTTTCTAGGTAAACAGTCAACAAAAATAATAGAGACTTTTAACAAGACAACTCCATAGGTAGAGGACATTCAATACAATACTAGCACAGACAGGAAAGAAGTATGGTACCGAAGGAGAATGCAACCTTAAAATAAGATGGGAAAGGTTTTTTGTGGAGAAAAAATGATCCGTATTCCTAATAGGCACTGCTTCTGTGTCCTGAGACACCCACACAGCATTCTTTTACTGACTATAATATGACTTACGCATCTTGCTGGTTCTCGCATACCTGGACAGATCTGACTGTGCCTTTCATCTTCCATTGTCCATGGTTCTTCTCCTCGTTCCAACCTGGAGAGTGCATCTGGTTTGCTGACTTGATAACCTATTTATGGGAAATGACAGAAGACAGACACACTGGATTGGGCTGGTGTATGTAATGTGACAGAATGTTACATTTAAGTAACTAGACAGTTTTCACATCTGCAAAGTAAGTAGAGGCTTTTCTCTCAGGAAAGGGCAGATTACAGTCAGACCTTAATATCTGAAAATTTCACATCCAGGGATTCAACCAACCATGGATTGAAAATATTTTTAAAAAAAATACAATAATAAAAAATACAAAGTGCAGTGGCTTTTGCCTATAATCCCAGCACTATGGGAGGCTGACATGAAACCAACACTTGAAGCCAGGAGTGGGAGACCAGCCTGGGCAACACAGATTCCATCTCTACAAAAAAAAAAAAAAAATAGCCAAGCATGGTGGTTTGCATCTGTAGGCATAGTTCCTCAGGAGGCTGAGGCAGGAGGACCACTTGAACCCAGTTCAAACCTGCAGTGAGCCATGAAGGCACCACTACATTCTAGCCTGGGCAACAGAGCAAGACGCTGTCTCTAAAGAAAAAAAAAAAACACAATAAAAAACAAATTAAAACATACAGTATAACAACTATTTACATAGCACTTACATTGTGTTAAGTATCAGGCATAATCTAGAGATGATTTAAAGTATTTGAGGGGAGGTGTGTATAGGTTATATGCAAATACAATGCCATTTTATATGAGATTTGAGCATCTGTGGATTTCATATCCATGGAAAGCTGTGAAACCAATCTCTCTCAGACACTGAGGGGTGACTGTATATCCTTTTATCAGAAGCCAGAGGATGTACCAAAAATCTGCTATTCAGAGCACTGCAGTTAATTCCAAGGGTAAGCAGCTGAGAAAGCAAAGGCCACAGACTGGGCACCCTCCAGGTGACACAGGGCAGCTGTCCTTACCCATTGATACCAGGTTGCTGTAGATCTCCAACATCACATCCCGGTACAAGTCCTTCTGAAAAGGGTCCAGGAGCTGCCACTCCTCCCAGGTGAACTCCACAGTAACATCCTCCAGTGTCAGCAATTCCTGTAAGAAAACAGAGCCTCGCTTAATAGGAAGTGTTTCTCTTTTATAGACATGAAAAGAATGTGAAGGGAAGTTGTCCTGCTCATATTAACCACATAGACTGCATCCATCTATAAATCTATTGTATTTTTTAATATCACCAGAGAATCTCCAAGTATTCTATAATTGTACAGTGCCCCATTTGCTCAACAAAAATTAAGGTTTTATATCAAATCCGCTCAGTAAAAACAGGTTTTACGTATAAATTTTAATTTCAGTGTCTATTGCCCAGTCAAGAAAGTATATGCTACCTACATCTAGGTATCTGATATAAATTGTTTCATTCACTGTAAGCTTCCCAGCTAATACTAACATAAGACATGGGGAGACTCCAGATGCTAGAATCACAAGACACTACGTTCATGTTTAATTATTAAATGGATTAAAAAATAGAAATGCATAGAAAGCATGAGAAACTATTAAAGAGTAACCAAATTGGGAAAACTTATTTTTGGAAATATATATTAAATATATATGTACACACACAAACATATATATGTGTGTGTGTATATATATGTATACAGTCACAGGTATGTGTGTCTATTAACAGAAAGATTATATTAGATACACTGAAGAGATAATTAGTGAGTTGGAATTCACAGTAAAAAAAAAAAAATAACAGGGCCAGGTGGGGTGGCTCACACCTGTAATCCCAGCACTTTGGGAGCCTGAGGCAGGTGGATAGCTTGAGCTCAGGAGTTCAAGACCAGCCTGGGAAACATGGTGAAATCCTGTCTCTACCAAAAAGACAGAAATTAGCTAGGTACAGTGGCACATGCCTGTGGTCTCAGCTACTTGGGAGGGTGAGGTGGGAGGATCGCTGGAGCCCAGGAAGTTGACGCTGCAGCGAGCTGTGATCATGCCACTGTACTCCAGCCTGGGTGACAGAGTGAGACCCTATCTCAAAAAATTAAAATAACTGAAAAATGAAGCAGAGACACAAAGTGACAGAAAGTATGAAGGAGAGTTTACTAAATATGGAAGACAGAATGAGGCCTAACATATGCCTATACATAGTTTTTGAAATATTATATTGAAATGAGAAGCAATTTCCAAATATCTGAGTGAGAAATTTTCAGAACTGATTAAATATCCTGTAACTCAAATTTAATAAATCAACAAAGCCAAGCAGAAAATCTGCATCTAGACACATCAGACAGAAACTATTGAACATCAGATGCAAATATAACATTATGAAAACAAGCATTAACAGAAGGAAAAGATGCATTACCATCAAAAGAAAGACAAAATGTTCTAACAACTGACTTCCATAGAAACAAAAGAAGCAAGAAAAGTGCAGAATAACGTCTTCAATGTCTTGATTCTGTGGTATTTGGCAAATTGTATGGTATGGCCTAGCCCCGAATGCCACTGGAAAATAAATTGAGACCCTCTTGTCAACTAAACTGCCACTCTCCTGTCTCAACATGACTTATAATCATATGGTAGTGGGAACTTGAGGCAGGAAAGAGCTAGGTGAAAATTGATGGGATAATCTATCCCCATGTAATTGCAGAGATTAATATACAGATAAAAGAACAGACTTAGTGGAGTCTGCAAATTCTTAATGCTGCTGATCTTATCACATTCGGAATTATTTCACATGAGAAATAAATCTGTTTGGAAAAAAAACCCTTAGGTTTCTACCTAATTTCATACTCAAAAATAAGTTTTTCCCGTTTAAAATCCTAACCAGAAAGCAAAAGAACCTATGGAAGCAGAAGCAAATATGAAATATATTCATGTTCAAAGCCATAAAGGAAAAAACAGGGACAAATTTTATGAGAAAAAAATTTTAATATCTACATTGAAAAACAGATCATAAACAAAGCTGAAAGAAAAATGACGGGCTAAAAAAAATTTGCAATAAACAAAAGGTCAATATATAGTAGATATAACCAACTCATTAACCAGTAAAAAAAAAGTTTTTTAATATAAAAATTATAGTCAGGCATTTCACGAGAGCAAAAAATTCAGTTGGCCAAGAAATACACACAAAGGACTTCAACCTCGCCTGTGATGAGGAAAATGCAAAATAAGACAAAAGAATATTGGATCACTGAAAATTGTGTAATTTGATAATGTCTTATTCTTAAGTATTGGCAAAGATTTAAGGCAAAAAGGACTCCATGTATCAGTCTCTATGTTGCAGGCACTCATTTAAATACTTTACATAGTTTAACAATGTTTCCATGTATGACTTTAGACAAATGGAATTTTATACAATTAATATTCTTCAATTAATTATAGTGATATTCCTTTATATTCTAAAACTATACCATCTAAGGCAGGGGTGTCCAATCTTTTGGCTTCCCTGGGCCACATTGGAAGAAGAAATGTGTTGCGCCGTGCATAAGATACACTAATGATAGCTGGAAAAAAAAGTGCAAAAAATTCTCATAATGTTTTAAGAAAATTTACAAATTTGTGTTGGGCCACATTCAAAGCCATCCTGGGCCACATGCAGCCCACAGGCCGCAGGTTTACAAGTTTGATCTAAGGTGACCAACAGGTGAAATGTGATTCCACTGAAGCAAAAGAAGTCATAATAAATGCATTTATATATACAGACACATACATAAAACACCTAGATTTATAAATACACATACATACAGAGATGCACACGGTTCGGTGACAGTAAGTACGTGCTACCAAACCTTTGTTGAAGCACTATAAGGGGATTAGGAAGAAAGTTATGATGAGCAAATTTACCTTTTTTTTTTAGAGAGACAGAGTTTTGCTCTTGTTGCCCAGGCTGGAATACAATGGCATGATCTCGGCTCACCACAACCTCCGCCTCCTGGGTTCAAGCGATTCTCCTGTTTCAGGCTCCGGAGTAGCTGGGATTACAGGCATGCACCACCATGCCACTCTAATTTTGTGTTTTTAGTAGAGACAGGGTTTTGGTCAGGCTGGTCTTGAACTCCCGACCTCAGGTGATCCGCCTGCCTCGGCCTCCCAAAGTGCTGGGATTACAGGCATGAGCCACCGTGCCCGGCCCGGGAATTTACTTTTTTAACCAGTGTGTACTTCATCATTAGAATTCATTTCCCTGTGGGGCCAGGCACAGTGGCTCACGCCTGTAATCCCAGCACTTTGGGAGGCAGAGGCGGGTGGATCACCTGAGGTCAGGGGTTCGAGACCAGCCTGACCAACGTGGTGAAACCCCATCTCTACTAAAAATACAAAAATTAGCCAGGCATGCTGGCGTGCACCTGTAATCCCAGCTACTCAGGAAGCTGCGGCACGAGAATCCCTTGAACCCTGGAGGCGGAGGTTATAGTGAGACGAGATCACACCACTGCACTCCAGCCTGGGAAACAGAGTGATACTCCATCTCAAAAAAACAAAACAAACGAACAAAAACCAGATTTTTTTCCCTTGGGAATCCGTGAGTTATTTATGTAATTACAAAAAAATAAAAGCAATAAAAATATGTAAGAATTGGATGTGAAAATGCAGAAGGATTCTGTATATTCTGAGATGAGGTAAAGTTATCAAACATGGCACCCAACAACTCAAGACCTTATCAGACAACTCCCTAATGCCAAATCTGCAGTTAATGCCAGTTCAGCCATCTGTTCAGGACAAATGGAAGATATGCACGCCTTCCATTTTCCTAGGCCACTTAGATTTTATTCCTAAATCAGCTCACAAAGACACAAAGACTTGAGTGTGTGGCCTTGCTTTCGTCCCTTGAAAAAACTGTGTCCACTGAGTTTTCCTGGTCTATTTCCATAGGAGTCTCTGAGGAACCCTGTTATAAACAGCAGTAAGAAATCTTCTGCCTTTATTAGAAAGCTAGTTCAAAACACTGTTCAAAAAACCATATCACCTCTGGGAAGAAGAGCAAATTTTTCTTGACATCTAAGTGCCATGAAATAATGATCTCCTGAGGAACGTGTCTGCTTTTTCCTCACAGTCACTGTATATTATATAACTTAGCATGACTTTCTTGTACTGGCTGTCGGAGACATCAGATGCAAACTGACAGCTAATGTAATAGAAAGGATCTTCTAGTCAGGCATTATGTTCCAACATCAGTCATTTTGTAGGAATCACATAAACACTATATTCCTGATCTTACTTTGCCATGATGTTGGAGTTAGATTTAAAGTTTATTTCTCTCTAGATTCTGAAATGATTTCTTACAGGTCTCTACAAATCCACCATGGAATAAAGGAGAGAGTAAAATAGAGAAAAAGTCACCTGGGCATTGATCATTTTCTTCAGTTGTGGGAAATGGCCAGCACCTGGGATACTCTGTCTTTGTCTCCTCTGGATCTGCCTTAAATTTCTAGTTAGAAACCTCAGTCACCAGTGAGGAGTGCCCACAAAAATCATTATCTAGGTCCTGGAATCTTCCTCTTTCTTCATTCACTTCTTGTCTCTTCCCAGGGCAGCCAGGACCTGTAGACTGAGGAGCAAAACAACTTTCAGGGGTACATTCACCTTAACACATGACCCTGAATATTTGTCTCTTTATTTGGTTCTCTCAAACCAAAGAAATCCAAGACCCTCAATGAAGGCCAAATGCCTTTCTTCGGTGAAGTGTGGAAGTAACATGAAGAGGAAAGGGGAGGTCACAAAGGCCACACAGCATCATGCCTAAGCAGTAGGTAATTCTCGTATCAGCTTTTTAAATAATGCCATATGGATGGTGAGAAACTGTACATTTTTTCCTTTATACAATGTTACCCTCACACCTCTTTAAAAGTCTTTATATATATTTAAAAGTGTTTATATATGGCCCGGCATGATGGCTCACATCTGTAATCCCAGCACTTTGGGAGGCTGAGGTGGGCGGATCACCTGAGGTCAGGAGTTCAAGACCAGCCTGGTCAACATGGCGAAACACTGTCTCTACTAAAAATACAAAAAATTAGCCGGGTGTGATGGCGGGCACCTGTAATCCCAGCTACTCGGAGACTGAGGCAGGAGAATGGCTTGAACTTAGGAGGCGAAGGTTGCAGTGAGCCCAGCCATTGCACTCAAGCCTGGGCGAAAAGAGCAGGACTCCATCTCAAAAAAAAAAAAAGTGTTTATACACACACTTCAATATGAAGAACAAGAAACACATCAAAAAAAAGAGGGAGACAGAGAGAAGGAATACGAGGTATAAGTACAAATTTAGAAAACAATTCAAAAATATAAATACTGGGAAAATAGCCGCCTTTATATACGAACATACAAAACCTGAAACACCCATAAAAAATATGCAGTACATTTGCAAGAGGAAGGATAAAAATAGGCTCTTATTAATTTGTGCAGCAGTAATAAAAAAAAATACTGTAAATAGAAAGCTTATTCATCCGCACCCTCTCTGCCCCCCCAACAAAACTTTCATTTTCTGCAGGTTCAAGAGCATGGGTTGTCGTGGAAAGCCAGAGGATTAGATAACTCATCGTGCAGGAGGTACTTGGACCTGAAACTTTTAGGAAATGTTAATGTTCATCAAGTCTGTTCCAGCAGCCAAAGTTTGAGCTCAACACACACACACAGACCCTGCCAGGGCTCTTGTGAAAATACTTCAGTTTTCACTTGTCTCTACACAAAAGGCCACCACCCGCCAGATTAATACGAAAACCTGGAGTAGACACACATGTACACTGGCTTCCCTTAATGATTCCTCGATCACTGAACCTCAGATTAATCCAGAATGTGAAACAGAAGTCACATTAGTTGAAAAAGCCACCCCACCGATTCTCAATCACTGAGCCCCACAGGGGAGTGACCCGCGAGGACCACAATCCCTGACCTCAGGACTCTTGGTCGTAGATCTACTCAGGCCTTTAATCACTGACCACCAGAGCCTCCATGAGGGACCCCCAAAGATATCCCATCACAGACACCCACCAGGGACTCCTACCAGCTCCCCTCCAAAAGAAAACACCCGCCCCCGCCTCCCCCACACTGCCGCGCTACCTACACCGTACAGCGCCGCCAACAACGCAGACGCCCTCAGAATGCTCCCTCCCACCGCGTTTCCACGTCCTGACCCACACACTGACCTTACTCTCCCTGGAATCGCTGCGACTTCTTAAAGACTGAACTTACTTCCCTAAAGTTCTTCGACTTCTGGGCCCCTCGCCCAGCTCCCTCCCCACTAAACCTCAAGGGAGGGTCACTCGCGTTTCCATGGAGAGCGGAATGCGGCCTTCCGGCTTTTCCTCAGAAGAAGCGTCCGCGCCGTAGTCGCCTCGCCGCTCTGGGGGCGGCCATCTTTGAGTACGTGACGTACAGACGACACAGGAGCCGCGAGACGCTGTGGACAGAGGCCTCTTAAAACTGTCCGATTTCCAGACACGTCAGCCCTGGCAGAAAATGGAGAGATTATCAGAGGCTTCAGTTCACACAGACAGATACGGCGTGTGGGTAAAGTCCTCTGAACAGACAGGGAACAGAATAAGTTGATCTTCTCCTTGCAGGGGCTAGTGAACGGCGCAAACTTCTCAAAGGCCGGAACCCATTAGTACCACAAAGGCGCGGCATCAGTTCTTAACGGTCATGATGGCTGTGGCGTCTCAACTCAGTGGAAAATTAAAGTCACCTCTGGGCACCTCAATCACTATTCTAAATGCGAAGCGTTTTAGAGGCCGTATAAAAACTGAATCAAGCGGGATTAGAACAAAAAATAAGCGAGCGGTGCGTTGCAGGTAACCGCGCCGTCAGGCGGGAGCACTGTGGGGGCGGCCATCTTAGGGGAAGTTCGGTGTCCATAGGGCAGAACGAATGCTCTCTGGGAAGCTTGCGGTGGAACTGGCCCGTGGAATTGTCTTTAGAAGAACAAAACCACCTGGCTTTGTTCTTGACTCTGGAAATGGATCGTTTTCTAGAATTATTTAGGTTGTTGGCAGATTAATTTCCTTCACACAGTTTCCTTGCCCCCACTCCTTTAAAGATAGGAATCTTTAAAGCCAACAATAGTATTGTCAAATCCCTTTCATGTTTGAAACCTCTGACTATCGCATCTCTCCGGTTTCTCCTATTATTAAGTGCTTGGGCAATCCAGAATAATCTCCCAATGCTAAAGGCAGCTGATTAATAATTACAGTGCAGAGTCCTTTTTGCCATGTAACATAATATAACCATGGGAATTATTCTGGAGTTGGAGATCTGCCTATGATGTGACACTAATGAATATTTTGCAATGAAAAAATACTATTTTTTAAAATTGTCCATATATTTACAGAATTATTACCACAAGTTATGCCTTGTGATGTTTTTTTAGAAGACGCAAGGATGAAAATGTCAACATTTTCAATTGTGTGTTTTCTTTTTAATAATAAAGTATGTGTTCTAATTTACAAAAACCACAATAAAGGTATTTTCATCATGTCAGTCTTGAGGCTGAACAACACTGAACATTCTTTTTCCTTTTACCTGTCTGCCTTCTCCCTTCCCCTACACTCTCTGTACCCCACACTCCAGGCTCTGTTCCATCATCTTATGCCTATGGCCCCTTTCCCCTGTACCCTCTTATTACTTCCATCTGTCACACAGACACACACTATCACTCCTCTAAACACTCTAGTGTTAAACAATTGCCACTGATTGTTTTTGACAAGTGCCCTATGGGTAGGAGTGTTCACATAGATAAAGCTGAGTCAAGTCAAATAGAGAAAATACTATGAGAATAGACCTATTCAGGCTGCAGCACATTTAGTAGTGAAAATTCTGTGGGGATGGAGGCTTTTGGGTGTTTCAGAGCCATTTCTGCCATTTTCAGAGCCATTTCTACCTCCTTAAGTGCAGATAATCTGCTAGGGTGCAGATATTCACTGTTACTGTTGTTAAAAGGTGGTTGCTTTTCAAAGTAAGCAGGAGCAGAGGATATGGAGGAGAGGATATGGGGATAGGATTAGGGCAAGGTAAATACCACAAGGTAAAGCTCACTTGTGGCCGGTGTTGTGAACTTAATTGGCCACTCTAGAAAAGGAACTAACTGGCCTCTAGCCAGGGCCTAAAAACTAGATCTAGATAGCACAAAAAAGTTACATTAAACTTCCTCTAGTGTCCAATCTATCAGATTCCGATCCTGAAGGACCAACTCAGTCTCTCTTCTACTTCGTCTCCTTTCTCTCATCTTATAAAAGATATTCTTTGGGAAAACTGTTTATTTCACATATAACTCAGCTTTAGCTGGGTCTGGTTCTCTCCTCCAAGATCTTGCCTTTACCACATAACTTCTGCAGCCTCGAAATGCTGAAGATTTCCCAGAAATTTGTTCTAATTCCTAGGGGTTTAACCTACCAGTATCTCCTCTGTATTCATCTTGGCCTTCTCCATAAAATTAGATTTTGCCTAATGTAAGTACAGATATAAAGCTCAAATCCCCTCAGATATTTCCAAAAGAATTTACTTTTACAGAAAAACCTCAGTGACACATGTGGCCTTTTTTGAAGATACTGTAAGAGTGACAGGGACAGAGATAACAGGGCACTCAAGAGCAAAAAACTTCAGAACCTCTCATAATAATTACTTTTTCTCCACATCCCCTCTAGGATGCCTCACCTGTGAGTCTTTTCATATCTTCCTCCTCTACCTATGCAGTGTCCCACCTGCTGGTCTTGTGCTGATCTCTCTCATGGCCCTACCTGCCCCAACAACTTACATTCTTCTCCATTTTAATACAGATCAATTAATTCTTCCAAGAATGTACCCTAAACACTTATATTTATTGTGATTTAGAGAGTATTAAATCCCCTTTTTAGAAAGAATAATTAGGAATTGCCGGGCGCGGTGGCTCACGCTTGTAATCACGAGGTCAGGAGATTGAGACCATCCTAGCTAACATGGTGAAACCCCGTCTCTACTAAAAATACAAAAAAAAAAAAAAAACAGGTGTGGTGGCCGGCGCCTGTAGTCCCAGCTACTCAGGAGGCTGAGGCAGGAGAATGGCATGAATCCGGGAGGGGGAGCTTGCAGTAAGCCGAGATGGTGCCACTGCACTCCAGCCTGAGTGACTGAGTAAGACTCCGTCTCAACTTTTTTTTTTTTGAGACAGAGTCTCAGTCTGTCGCCCAGGCTGGAGTGCAATGGCGAGATCTCAGCTCGCTGCAACCTCCGCCTCCCGCATTCAAGTGATTCTTCTGCCTCAGCCTCCCGAGTAGCTGGGATTATAGGCACCTACCATCATGCCCAACTAATTCTTATATTTTTTGTAGAGACGGGGTTTCACCATGTTGGCCAGATTGGTCTTGAACTCCTGACCTCAGGTGATCCACTCGCTTCTGCCTCCCAAAATGCTGGGAGTACAGGTGTGAGCCACCACGCCCAGCCTATCTATCTATCAATCTTATTTTGAATCACACCTCTGGTCATTTTCAGGAACTATGGAAGTTTCTGTCACCCAGGCTGGCATGCAGTGGCATGATCTCAGCTCACTGCAACCTCTGCCTCCTGGGTTGAAGAGATTCTCCTGCCTCAGCCTCCCTAGTAGCTGGGATTACAGGCGTGTGCCATCACGCCTAATTTTTGTATTTTTTGTAGAGACGGGGTTTCCATGTTGGCCAGGCTGGTCTCAAACTCCTGACCTCAAGTGATCCACCCCCCCTCAGCCTCCCTAATGAAGCAATATTTAATTAAGATTTCTATCAGTTGGATACTATGCATCAGGATGAGGATAAACTGATTTATTCACCGTTGTTATCCCCACGTAGGTACCACATTAACCAGCTGAAGAAAATCCTGAGACTACAATAGAAAGAAATGTGACTCCTCTGTAAGTTTGTGTATTGATGTTCCAAGGATGATGAATGTGTAAACAACTGAATGTGTGCAAAAACATGCAATTTACTTATTTATGATAAGATGAGGAGAATTTGTATTTCTGATCCAGACAAAGCAGAGCCTGGATACAGTGGAGTCACAGCTCATGACAACAAAGGGGCTGACACTTGGAAAACACACAGAAATGAGGGCAACAGTGTTCACCGGCTACCACCTGGGATTATGAAATCGAGCAATACAAGCATGAATGAAGGAGGAGAGGATGTGAAAAGACACAAAGGTGCTCACCAGGACAAGGATACTCTGGGTGACTCTGGACTCGGAGGATCTGGAGGAAACATTATTCCTGTGAATGTGTTGGACTTACTGCTTGTGCCTGTACAAAATGAAAATCCTGGAGCCACTGGACAAGATTATGAGCCCAGAAAATAAAACTTCAGGGAATACAAATAATGCTGCATACAATGGGTCTATAATTTTGTTAAAACCTAGAGAGAGGCCGGGCGCGGTGGCTCAAGCCTGTAATCCCAGCACTTTGGGAGGCCGAGATGGGCGGATCACAAGGTCAGGAGATCGAGACCATCCTGGCTAACCCCGTGAAACCCCGTCTCTACTACAAAATACAAAAAACTAGCCAGGCGTGGTGGCAGGCGCCTGCAGTCCCAGCTACTCGGGAGGCTGAGGCAGGAGAATGGCGTAAACTTGGGAGGCGGAGCTTGCAGTGAGCTGAGATCCGGCCACTGCACTCCAGCCTGGGTGACAGAGAGAGGCTCCGTCTCAAAAAAACAAAAAAAAACAAAACAAAACAAAAAAAAACCTAGAGTAGAACAGTAACCAAAATCTCTTCTTTGTGATGTTTTTGTTGCTGTATGTGACAACCAAATACACGGGAAAAATTTACTACAATGTACAGGATCCAGCAGATGGGAATGGAGTATCCAATGTACTTTGCAGCTTTTACTTTAAGATCCTTCCACCTGGAGTTCATGGGGCTGATCCTTATGGTCTGGAAGACACTCAAGAGACAGGTGGTGCCAATGGACGTAGTCCTAACCACTCTTTCTACATAGAAAGTATGTTCACATCCAAAACCATTGAAGAAATGTGTCAATCCAAAAGCTGACATTGTCTGGGGAACTCCTTTTGAGAGAAGAAACATGGGGTTTCCAATAATCAAGTGCTTGAGAATCACATCTGTGGACCTCAACCTGGATCCTTTGTAAGAAAGGAATAGATAATGGCAGACGAGAGAAGTTGCCTAGGATTTCAACTCTCTTCTGTGATAAGAAGATTATCCTTACTGCCACATCACTGGAATCTATTCTTTGATTCAGCACATGTTCCTTTAAGGATGGTAACAATCATTCTTATGAGAAAATAGCCTTATTGAAGATTCTTGTCATTAACAGTAACTTTCACTGTGTGCTCTGGTGAGGATAGCCAGGTGCATTTAGAAATGGAAAGAATTACCAGGATACTTCATGGAAGTCAGCACTAAGGATGAGGTGCTGTTAACCATGGGAGAAGCAATGACAAGTGATAGCAAACAGAAAAAAAGCATCATCTAACATTTTATGAATAAACTGATGAGGTAGTTATAATGGAAAAAAGACATAACCTCAACCGCTACCAACACTATAGAACAAATTACTTCTGAACTGACATGTGTCGATCGTAATCTCCATGGTAACGTAATACAATTTCTAGAAAACACATAATAGTATTCTTGGGTTTTCACGAACTACAAACATGTTTCTCCAAGCCACCACCAAAACCCATTAATACATTACGAAACGATGACAAATTAGGCCACTAGTACAACAACAACAAACGCTGGCCTCCTAAAAACGAACACCACACACCCACACACACATCACACACAAAGCCCACACACACCCACACACCACGCAGGGTTTCGGAAGACGAGAGATGTCAACTTACCAGCGCGTAAAAAACGCAGATTCACACAATAGAGCATAGCTCAAGCACATTCCATAGCCCGCTCAAAAACACTTACTTCCACTTAATAATTCCTAGGAGAAAGATGTTTCAATGCTCCGTTTATTAATCTGTGACGAATTCAACCTCACACCTACTACCCTACGATACCTGCCCTGTGTACCAACGCCAGAAATGCTAGTAGACTGAGGATCCACACTGGTCAGGACCATATCCCCCGGTTCCTGCGAAAAGACTGTGGGTAATATCAGGCACTTCATACCCAATGGGCTGTTAAAAAGTGGCCAATCATCTGGACAAAACTCTTTGGTAGGGCCATTCATACCTACAATACAGCCTGAAGAATACAAACCTGGCTCACCACATTACACTCTCTTTCTTCTTGTTTTGTTTTCTCTTGTTTTTTGTTTTGCTTTTTTTTGCCGGCAAGCGTCTCCGCTTCTGTCGCCCCGCGCTGGAGCTGCAGTGGCCGATCCTCGCTCACTCAGCAAGCTCCGCCTCCCAGGTTCCGGCATTCTCACTGCCTCAGCCCCTCCCGAGTAGCCTGGGACTACAGGCGCCCCCGCCACCCTCGCCCAGCCTAAGCTTTTTTGGTATTCTTTTTAGTCGAGACCGGGGCTTTCCACGGGGTTAAGCCAGGATGGTCTCGGACTCTCCTGACCGTCGTGATCTGCCGTCTCGGCCTCGCCAAAGCTGCCCGGGATACAGGCCTTGAGTGGCACCACGCCGCCCCGGCCTCACATTACACTCTAAAATACATACCCCACAATAATTTCTAATCTCTATTCTATCATCCATATAATAACACCACCAAACGCTTCAGATTCAAGAATTTACTATACCCGCACTGAGTCAGTAATACCCCAAACTATACGCACATGGCACTACCGTACACATGACCTCAGTGTATCCACACAATGGAATCCCATTTAAGGCAATGCTTAATGTATGCAAACACACCCACATCTCACAAACAATCAATATACCGAACTAAAAACAAGGCAAGTACTAAACTACACTAAAGCAGGAACACATGATCTCCTCCTTCCTTTAGCTGCATGTCCACCTATGTCCCCTGCCGCTTCTACAAAGAACCCCAACCGAACTGTAGCCTT